CGCCAGATTTCGTGATGTTCTGCCGCCGCGTGAACTGCAACCAGTCGAACATGATCAAGAGTGTGTTCATGGTCACCGACCAGACTGGGGTTATGGGAGAAGAACTCTCGGAGTGGATCGACGTATCAGCGTGAGGGCAGCCACGGACCTTGCCATCACCAGCGGCGTGCGCCTACCTGTGCGGCATGCTCGGGTCGCTAGGTGTGAAGCTTGGGCGTGGACCTGACCATCGATGTGTGGCCGCGCACAGCGCCGCGCCTTCGAGCGTGGCTGTGCTGCCGCGGCACCAGGGTAACGATGTAGTGGTCTGAGGCCACGGACAGCGGGCAGTAGCTTATGCGATTTTGACTTGTGCGTAGTGGCCCTCGCCCGCCTGCTTCTCGCCCCCTCCCCCTCGCGGCCGCTCGGGCCCTCGTTCGCCCGTTTCGGCCCCCCTCGGTCGGGCCCCGTGTCGGTCCTCGGTCGGTCCCGCCTCCCTGTGCGAGCAGCGCGGCGCGTGTAGCGTGCTTGTGTCCGATTTTTTCCACGGCACGTGAGTTTGCACGGCACAGTACACTCATTGCTCATCAGCTGCGTACTACTACTCCTCCTCCTCCTCCTCCTCCTCCTCCTCCTCCTCCTCCTCCTCCTCCTCCTCCTCCTCCTCCTCCTCCTTCTCCCCTCCCCCTCCACCTCCCCCTGCCCCTCCCCCTCCTCCTCCTCCTCCGCTCTTCAGACCCTTGGCATCGATCGGACGTGGACATGTTTCCTTCGGCGAAAACAATCGAGGAGCACCTTGGACCATCTTGCGGCAAGGGACACGCACGAAGTCGAGGAGTGCACGGGGAATGGGCGTCCGAGCGATGGCGAGGACCTGTCTGCGGCGCTCTCGGAGCAGTTCCGGTCGAACCAGTTCTAGGTGTAGATGTCAGGGGCAACGTCCAGGGAAATAGGCTCAGGGGGGGGGGGGGAATGCTTCGGACCCAAATCGCCCATTGATCGCCAATGGCCCAAGTAATCTCCCATTGACCGCCGATGGGGGCTCGATTGCCCACCCCGCCCAGGAGCACTCGTGTTCGCCATCGTGAGCTTATCGCAGATCTGTCGGCGATGTATCGCCGATTCCGTTTCCCGATCTGGATCAGATCGAAACACGCCTTCCGAATTTCGCCGAGGCCACGTCGCCGTTCTATCGGATATGTATATATATATATATATATATATATATATATCGGCGGTGAATGTTCCCCCCCTGAGCTGTTCCCCCATTAACGTTAAGTCGGGAATGTCCCTCTACAGGAGGAAGATTCAAAAATAGTCGACACATCATATCGAAACATCATATGGTGACGATTTCTTGTTTTTTTTATGTTTTTTTGTTCAGACTTTCTGTCATTTTCTTTCAAAATCTGCTTGTAGGAGAACATGCCCGACCTAGCCTTATCGGGATCCCGCAAGGGGTGTGTGCCTCGGTGTGTGTGTGTGTGTGTGTGTGTTTGTGTGTGTCCGTGTGTGTGTGTGTGTGTGTGTGTGTGTGTGTGTGTGTGTGTGTGTGTGTGTGTGTGTGTGTGTGCGTGCGTGTGAGTTCGACCAGTTGTTGCACCGAACCGCCCAAAACAGATGCCCCCCAGCCGCCGGCAGCTCCCGATAGTTGCCGACGGGTGGGGCATTCGGGAAGCATCCGTTTGCGGCAGTTCGGTGCACCAGCGGATCGAACTCATGCCCCCCCTCAGGGCCCCCGCCCGTCTTGGTGGATCCCAACCTTCACGTATGTCTGGGCATGGCGCAGCGGAGTCCGGCCAGGCGGCCCTTCGGTGGGCGGCCGCTGCTCCGAAATCAGGAGACCTGCCTCCGACGTTCGGGGGTGCCGCGCCTCGATGTGAGCTCCTGAGGTCGAGGCCTCCTAGACGGGGTCCAAGCAGATGGGGTCGGAGGATCGCGCCGCATCGTCGATGCATCGGCGATGCGGCTCGATGTCAAGCCCGATTTTCTCCACGCTGGCGTCGCCAACGCATCGCCGATGTCGCCAATGCATCGCCGATGCGTCGGCGATGTATCGCCGACGTATCGACGATGCGGCGCGATCCTCCGACACCATCTACTCCGATCCCATCTAGAAGGCCTCTATTAAGGCGAAGCCAGGACGAGGGTAAATCTGGGTGAGGAGAAATCGAGAATCTCTAAGATCTGGCGGCTCTGGAGGATGCCTCGGGCGCCGCGGCCTTCTCAGAGCGTTCCGGAACGCCCTGAGAGAGTGCTGGAACGCTTTGGAACGGATTTATCCTCGTCCCAGCCCCGTCCGAATTACTCCTGCGGGGCCGACCAGGGGAAGACGTCCCCGGAGATGCTGGCGTCACATATTTTTGCACGCCTAGGCGGTGTCGCCCCGCCTCCGGCGCCGGGACCCTCGCGGAGGGAGCCAGCTCGAAGCCGCAGGGGGCATTGGGGTTTTTGGGGGGTCGGGTCGCAAGCTCTTGCGATATAGTCGGACCGAGGTATAGGATTTAGGTCGTTTCGGGGAGGGTGCCCTAATGTTCTTCGTGCTTGTTGGACCTTCTGTGCATCCTGGGGGGGTAGCCCTTGGATGTTCTGCTTGTTTTGGCTGGCGGAGGGTCTCGTGTTCTTGAGGGATGTTCTTCTGGCCTAGGTCCGACTGTAGTGCAGATCTGTCGTGACCTCGGATCTCAGAGTCTGGGCGGATGGACCCAGGGTTGACTGGGCTACGTGGCGCGCATCTTGGCGCGCCGGCTGCGCAAGCCCAGGCGTCCCGGGTTGAGCACGCACCCTCCTGGGGGCCCCGTGATTATTTTTCCTCCGAAGGCCCACGGAGAGCAGCCCACACGGCGCGGAGTCGGTGCGGTGGATAGGGTCGACAGTCTTGGAGACCGAGATCGGTGATCGTCCAAGATGGAGCCCCAGGCGTCCGATGTTTTCTTTTGTTTGTGTGTGAGAGAGGTGGCCGCTGCACGCGCGCTGGGTTACAGTCCTTCCCACCCACCACCCTTCCCTGCAAATCAGTGTCTGACGTTTCTTATACTGCGCTTACGACAATGCTCCACCGCAGTGAGCACTTCCACCTGCGTACCTTGCTGCGCTGGAGGACCCCCTGTGCCGCTGACTTCATAGAGTGTGCGCCTGGGTGTGAGAGTGCCCTGCGCGCGTGTGTCTTTCAGGCAGGGCCGCGGGAAGCTTGGGCCCCCTCCCCAGGGCCCTGGCGCTGCCTCCCCAGGCGTTCTTGCACGGCCACGGGGCCCCAGCGACGGCCTCCAGAGGTCGGCCCTCCTCCTCCTCCTCCTCCTCCTCCTCCTCCTCCTCCTCCTCCTCTCCTCCTCCTCCTCCTCCTCCTCCTGGTGGGGGTGCGCCACGGGCGCCCCCCCCACCTCAAGAGAGAGACGTCCTCCTCCTCCTCCTCCTCCTCCTCCTCCTCCTCCTCCTCCTCCTCCTCCTCCTCCTCCTCCTCCCCAGAGGCCTTCCAATATTGTGGCCTCCCTGCGCGGCGCCGCAGCCCGTCTCCGGCGGCCCACGCCCGGCCCTCTGGCTCGCGCCGCCGCGGCAGGGGGCGCGGGCACAGCCAGGCCACCGGGTCAGGGGACCCGGTCCGTAGTAGGGCCCTGGGGCCCCTCAGTTGGCCACCCAGGCCCCCTCGAGTTATGAGAAAATCACGACGCGAGGTTTGTCATTCTTTTCGGCCTCTGGGGGCCCTTACCGGCCCTCGGGACCGTCAAAAAACGACTCAGGACGAAAAACCGGTCCCGGGGAATGGGCCTGGACCTTTGGGGGTCGACGTCATGAAAAGTTCATGACGTCGGGGGTCTGGGCAGGTTCACTAAGCCAGGTTTGCCGTAGCTGGTGTTTTGTTTTGCTTTCGGGCGACGGCAGCTCCGGGGAGCGGAAATGGGACGGCCCGGGGGGGCGCCCCCGGTACAAGTCACTGAACCGGGTTCCACGAAGCCCAGTTCTGCCAACGCCCGAAGGGGGCCGGCGGCACGCCGGCGCGGCGGCGTCCGTGCTCCTGGCGTGGCCGCGCGCGCTCCCCTGCCGTGGCGCGGCGGGCGAGAGGCTGCTGCAGGCCGGCCGTCTGCGCTGCTCCGGGTCTGCTGCACTCAGCGGCAGCGCTGGGGCGGGATGGGCCCCGGGGGGGGAGCGCATCGACCCCCAATCGCCCTTGTTATCGGGGGCGGGAAAGAGGGGGGTGATGACTATAGGGGGGGGTGGATATCATGGCGGGGGGCCATGATATTTCCCCAGATCTCATGGCGCCCCTTCTTATTTCATTGCGTCCCTGGCCCCCCCGCTGGGCCGCGCACATGCCGCCAGTAATGATTTGCACCCCCCCTCTTGGACACCCCCCTCTTGGCCGCTCCCGATGTTAGGGGAACAAAAAGTGACATAAACATAAAAACTCGGAGGTCCGCGCGGATTTCTCGGATCGGCGCTGGGGCCCCCCGGCGGCGCCTCTGGCGCCGCCCCTGGCTCCGCGCGCCAGGGAGGGGGATCCAGCGCCGATCCGAGAAATCCGCGCGGACCTCCGAGTTTTTATGTTTATGTCACTTTTTGTTCCCCTACTTGTGGTCCTTGTGGTACGGCCGGGGCGTTTGTGGTGACTGCAGACCCTGGTGACTGCAGACCCTGGAGGGTGCCTCGCCTGATGAGGGCGGCAGGGGTTTCCATGGCGAAGCCTGAGTTGGTGTTTCACCATGATCCACCAGCTTCCAGACTCTGGATTCCTTACCCAATGGTTGCTCCGTATCTGCTGCACTCAGTGGAAACGTTAGGGTGGAATGGGCTCGGGGGGATGCATCGACCCCCAATCGCCCAGTGATCGCCGACAGATGCCCGATAGCCTCACCCAGCCAAGGACCGTTCGGATTCACCATCGAGGGCGTATCATCGCCGATCTGGCGGCGATGTCTCGCTGATTCCGGGCCGATGGTTTTTCCCCTTGAGTTGGACCCCACCTAACGATTCTATGTCATGCGCCGTGGCTCACTGTTGCGCTGCTGATCTGTGCGTGTGTGTGGGGGGGGGGGAGATAAGCAGGTAAGCAGGGGCACAGTTAGGGTGGATACGGTCGGAGCGAGGCGCAAGAAATGCTCGGCTGGGGGATGGTACCTATTGCGCTTCTCTTGTTTGGCATGTTCTTGTGCAGCCCGGGGAAGAGTACCCTCGAACGTTCTTCAGTTTAACAGCTTTGTTCCTTCGTTCTGGTTAGGCTGGGGCTATTGGCGAAGTGCTTAGGCCTGGTCCGTTCAGGGTTGCGTTGCCAGACCGAATGCTTGTTACGGCTCGGGGTTCCACCATGGCTGCCCAGATAGGCAGTGTAGTTAGGGTCGGGTGACCTCAACCGAGCGCGAGCTGCTTTGAGCACCCCCTCGCCGACGCTTGGTGCCCGAAGGGTGCACAGCGTTGTTGCGATCGATGGACCATGTGAAGGCCGGGTGATATGATGTTTTGGGGTCTTCTTGCCGGCGCAGGGGGGCCCCATGCTCCTGCAGCATGTGTTTTTTCCTGTCCCTGCCCAGACGGCAGCATCAGGGTGGGAGACGCATCGGCCCCCGAGATCGCCCCTCGATCGCCGATTGCGGCGTAATGGCTCACCCCGCCCAGGACCGCGTGCGAAGCCGCTGTCTGTCGGGGGCCTGCGTGTCGCCGTTCCCTGCTCGGTGCCTTCTACCCTGAGACTTCGCACCGCCCGGACGTGTGCATTTTTTCCTCGGCGAGGACCATCGAGCAACATCCTGGATCCTCTAGCATTAAGTCGGGCCTGTCCCCCTACAGGGGGATTTTCGACGAAAAGTAGAAGATGCCCCACAAATACTCGAACAAAAAATGTCCCGAAATAGTCTGGGGACTATGTTTTGAGTATTTTTTTGCCTTCCTGGAGTATGTTGGGGGTATTCATTTTTCGCCGACAATTCCCCTGTAGGGGGACACGCCCGACATGAGTCTAGCAAAACACACGCGAAGCCGAGAGATGCACGGTGCGCGGACGTTCGAGCGGTGGCGGGGAGGTGGCCCCCCCCCGGACGTGGCCCTTCAGACGGGGCGGGTGGACGAGTTCGATGCCCTGGGGAGGGAATCGGGGGTGGACAGACCTCCCACCCTGACACGTCGATTAGTGAATTGGCCGTATCGGGGGTGGACAGACCTCCTACCCTGACACGTCGATTGGTGAGTTGGCCGTTTTCGGTTCGCGAGAGGGCGTCGCGGCCGTGATTTTTTCGCGGGTCCAGGTCCGTCGGTTTCGGTCCCCGGCCGTTTTCACTGAGGGGAGGTGTATTAAAGGGAGGTTTGTCCACCGCCGAGAGAAGGCGAAGGGGAGCCGAGGGCAGCCAGAGCCTGCTCCGCGTCGCCAATTCTCGCTCTCCTTATACTCCGCTGGGTCCCCGGGGCAGGTCAACATCAATTGGTTCATGCCTTGGTCAGAGTCGGCCCTTGTGGCGGTCAGCAACGCCTTCCTCTCCAAGTTCGACGTGGACTGTGACAAAGACGAGAAGCACAGGAGTGCTTGCTTCCTCCGTGTCCTCCTTGTCCCGCTCGTCGTCCTCCTCCTTTCTCGTCCGTCGCCAATTTGGCGCAACATGGTTCTGCTCTGCCTGAGCACGGATACCGCCGATCCGCGACAGACCATCAGTTAAATTCCCGAGTGGGCTCCTGGCGTAGCATCCGCTCGCCTGGCTCGCCCAAGGCAGGCCTCGACCACGACCTCTACACGCGGGCCGTGGCGCCGCGAGCTTCCAGCCCGTGGGCTGATTCTGCCCCGTCTGGCCCCAAACCTTGCACGCCATGCAGCAGGTGTGCGTCGGAGGTGGCGCCGCACCTGTGGCCACGTCCAAGGCACAGCCGGCCCAGATTAGTAGGTCGACCCTGCCAAGTCAAGGGTACCCTTGTGTCCTGTGTCTCGCGACCCATGCTTCCGATATTTCTGTGGCAAAGTGGCCCTCGGAAGGGTCTGTTGTCCTCTCGCGTGTCCTGTCCAATGAAGTCCGACTGTACGCGCGGCGGAGAACCTGACCGACGACAGCCGCGCGGACGCCGCCAGAAAAGGCTAACGAGTCGCAGCCTGCGGCCGGAGGACCCGCCAGCCAGCACCATGAGCAGGGCGCCGAGGCCGTCTGGGCCACGCCGGCGAGCGCGGCCCAACCAGGCGTCAAAGGCGTCGACGGAGGCGGCGCGGGACGTGGCAAGGGTCTGCGTGGGGCAGGGGTGTTGAGAATGTGTGGTGGTGACGCTGCCGACGTTACCCAAGACCCTGGTGGAGGCGAATCGGCTGCAGCGGCCGTTTCGGGGATCGGCTACAGCATTGATTCAATTACTCCTCCAGGAATGAATTGTTCGTCGAAACAACGAGAATACGCGGAACGATCCGCACATGCACGAATATTCTGCGCCCTTGTGTCTTGAATCCGACGCGAAACATCGAAAGTGGGGTACATCAATTCTGTAGTCGATCCCCTGCTCGAGCGTTCGCCAAGAAGCTCGAGCAGCTCGAATCGGCGTCACACCAACAGATTAATACTATGTACGAGCGTGCCGTGAGATCTTATAGTATACGCGCCGTGGCGGGCGCTTTCTGGCCACAGTAAGCAGCGATCGGGAGCCAGACCCCCTCCCTCCCCCCCCTGCCGCCCAATGTCGAAACGCCGAATAAGAAAACGCTCCCCAATCCATCGAAGAAGGACAACAATTCATAAACATAAACCGTCGGAGCTCCGCGCGGATTTCTTGGATCCGCGCTGGTGCCCCCTGGCGGCGCCACCGGCGCCGCCCCTGGCGCGCGGAGCGCGCCAGGGAGGGGAGTCCAGCGCAGATCCAAAACTTCCGCGCGGAGCGCCAACGTTTATGTTCCTGCCTGTAGTATTATAATTATTATTCTTCTTCTTCGTCTTCTTCTTCTTCTCCTTCTCCTTCTTCTTCTAATGCAATCGTGTGCGGCCGACGTGTGCGTCCGTGCACTGCGTTCTGATGCATGCGTCTGTGCACCGTGCGCAAGCCAGCACAACCGTGCACTGCTCGAGTGGGGGATCGGCTACAGAATCGATCGACCCCACACACTTGATCTTCCCCATCGAACCTACGACGAATACCCCGAATCTCCGTACATCTCTTGAGAATTCCACGTGCTTCTTCTCGTAGATTCGACGACAAAAAGCTACATTCTGGGGTACATCTTAATGCTGTCGTCGATCCCCCGCGCGCGCGCGCCCGGCCGCGGCAGAGCCGCGAGCGCGCCAACGTCGCTCGCGGCTCCTCTCTGCGCTGGGGCCCTCAGGTGCTCTGTGGCTCGGCGGGCCCCTGGCTGCCCCGGCGCCGCTTCTTGTCCTTACCGGCTCCCTTCTGCCGCTTCCCTTGCCAGTCCCGACGCCGTCTCTTGGCCGGCTCCGTCGCCGTTGTTTTTGTTCGGGAACCTTGAGACGGGGGTGAATGCCAACGGGGGTCAGCCAGAGCGCTGGATCTTGCAGGATTTTGCAGGGACAGGGTCGCATTGACCCGGGCTTGGGTGCAGGATCCTGCAGGATCTTGCAGGATCCTTCGCATTGACCCGGGTTCGGGTGCAGAATCTTGCAGGATTTGCAGGGTTTTTTTTGCTAGGCCTGACTGACCCTGGATTGACCCGGGGCAGAAGATCCCCGATTTTCAGGGGTGTCCGGCTCTGGCTCCCATCCCGGAGCGTTTTTTTTACGTTTCCCCTCCCTCATCCTGCCTCCCCCTGTTTCCTCCTCCCTCATCCTGTTTTATTTTTCTCATCCTCCTCATCCCTCTTCCTTCCCCCTCTGTTCTCATCCTTCCTTCTGTTTCCTCCCCTCTCCTCCTGCTTTCTGCTCCTCCTCCTTCCCCTCCTCCTCCTCCTCCTCCTCCTCCTCCTCCTCCTCTTTCTTCCTCTGTTCCCCTCCTTCCTTCCCCTCCCTCCCCTGTTCTCTCCCTTTCCCCGATGTCATCCCATCTCCTCCCTCCGCTTCCGCTTCTCCTGCGCTCTCGCCTCCCCCATCTCTCGTCGCCGGCCAGCGTCGGCGGCTGCATGTTCGGGGCACTGCGCCCGCGTTCGCCGCACCGTCCGCCGCCGTGGCGGCCGCCTCCCCCCACGACAGCATTGAACAAGGCATGGTGGATCTGCAGGAGAATCTTGGCATCGCTCGGACGTGTGCATTGCTCCTTCGGCGAAGACCATCGAGGAGCACCTGGGATCGTCTTGCGGCAAAATGCGTACGAAGTCGGGCAGTGCACGGGGAATGGACGTCCGAGCGATAGCGAGGGATGGTTTTATTCCCTACCTAGGCTCTGCCTAGAAGGGTTCTTACTATTAGGCTGAAAGGGCTGGGCAGTGGGGCTCGCCCCGGGCGGTTCCCCCGGCATCCGCCCCGCGGTTCCCCCAGTGACGTTCCCTTAGCTTCGCGTTGCTTCGCTTAGCTTCCTCTTAGCTTAGCTTAGCTTCATAGAAGTGTTTGATGTTGCTTTCCTAGATCCTCCAACTCCTAGGTAGGGTCGCACTGGAGGAGGAGGAGGAGGAGGAGGAGGAGGAGGAGAAGGAGGAGGAGGAGGAGGAGGAGGAAGGAGGAGGAGGAGGAGGAGGGGAGGAGGAGGAGGAGGAGGAGGAGGATTATCCGCTTTGGATAATTGTCTTCCAAAATGCGCTTTGGATAACCAACACTTTTGCGTAGCACCGCGAGGGGGCTCTCAACAGGCCGATAGATCGAGCGGCCACGGCCGCCCCCCGCGCAGGACGCTGGCCGGCCCGTCGTCCCTTGCGGGGACGTCGCGCGCGTCGTTCGTGCGTTCTACACTCAGGAGGGGAAGAATAAAACGACGCGAAGATCGGGACAAAATCTGATCGGGTTAACTCGAAATCTCTGAGGATCGGCGGGTTTGGAGGATGTATTGGGCGCCGCGGCCGCTCCAGAGCGTTCCGGAACGCTCTGAGAGCGCTCCGGAACGCTCTGGAGCGATTTATCCCGATCCTAGCCCTGTTTTAGAAAGAAACACACAGACACAATGAATCGTCGATTCCCAGGAAAATATGGGAAACTATGGGAAGTGGTGGGGAAGGCAGAAGCCCAGAAAAGATGGGAAAAACATATGGGGAATAGTTTTATCTGTTTGTGTATTTATTTGTGTGTCCCAGGGCCCCTTCATACACTGCGAGGCAGTGATACAGATGGGACTGTGAAGCGTTTTGCCTGCCATGACGAGCAGTGGAAGCATGTGGACTCCGAGTAATATCGCAGATCCAACGCAGGCGCCCCAGCGCACCCGCCGTTCCCAAGGCGGGACGCCCTCCAGGCGCCATCGGCGACGCTCCCCCCCCCTCCTTCTCCTCCTTCTCCTCCCCCTCCTCCCCCTCCTCCCCCTCCTCCTCCTCCTCCTCCTCCTCCTCCTCCTCCTCCTCCTCCTCCTCCTCCCTCCTCCTCCTATCCTCCTCCTCCTCCTCCTCCTCCTCCTCCTCCTCCTCCTCCTCCTCCTCCTCCTCCTCCTCCTCCTCCTCCTCCTCCTCCTCCTCCTCCCCCTCCCCCCCCCTCCTCGCCGTCCGAGGCCTCGCCGTGGGCGAGCCTGCGGTCGGGAGCGTTTAGCTTCGCGTTGGAGCGGGCTGGGGGGTCTCAGGTTGCTCGGCAGTGGGTCCGTCCAGCAGGAGGGGGGCGGCGAGCTTCGAGGCCTCGGGGTTCGAGAGGGTTTTGCTGTGTTTGCTCTGCCTCAGTGGGTCGTCCTCAGGCCGTGCGTAGCTGTCTCCTCGAGATCAAACGCAAGTTGTTCCCGCGACGTGGCGGCGGCGGCGCCCGTCCACAGCCAAAGGAAGCGCACCATTTGCCTTCCGCATTTCTTTGGCAATTGATTGCAACACTCATGGACCTTTTCATTTGTTACTTCAACCTCTCTCCAAGATTCCAATGTTCGCGCCGACATTGGCGACTGCAGACACAAACATCTAACCCCGTGGGCCGCCTTTCGCGCGTCGACTCACATTGAACATCGGCGTTTGACCTCGAGCAGGGTCGTGGGACCGTCGAGAACGGATCGGGGGCGACACGCTGCACCAGATGGACCCTGGGAGGGGTCTGGGGACCGATTTTGGGCGAATGTGCCCCGATCCCCCCGTCCTGACTGATTTTCTGGTTCGACGCCCGGTGCTTGAACCGGGAACTTTGGACCTGCGCAGGCCTGCTGGAGCAAGGAGGCGAGGAAGGCCTCGCCAAACCTGGGGGCACCATGTGTGGAATACAGCCGGGGCCCTGAAGAAGGAACCCTTTTCGTTGGGGAGGGGCTCCGTGTTCCTTAAGTGTTTCGCAGCTTGCCTCAGGTTTTCCTTCAGTTTTCGATGGGAAATCGAAGTTTAACTTGTGGAAAAAAGGGGCCTCGTTCCTTACTTAGGGTTCCTTGGGTCAACGCCCCGACGGTAATGCACTGGCAGTTGCTGGCTCCCATGCGCGACTCGCTGACTACTCCCGCCAAGACGGCGGTGCAGCTCGCGAGTGGGAGCGCGTAGGAAAGATCTGGCCACACTGCTGATGGCATGCTGGCTGCATGCTTTCTCTCTGCTCACGCACCGACTGGTGCAAGGATTATAACCTGACCTGACTGATTTTCCGGGGGCCCATCGAGTTCAGACCCCCTGGCCGCCTCCGAGCTCAGCGTGTCCCGCCGCTGGTCCTGGCCGCCCGCGCTTCGGCGCGGCGTGCTCACCGCGTCCCCGCTTCCCGGGCGTCGGGCGTCCCGTGCGCGCTCCCGTGGCCTCCCGGCCTGCAGAGCAGCGCGACACGCCGTCAGCCCTCGTGGGCGGCAAAGAGGGGGGGGATGACTCGGGGGGGGGATATCATGGCGTGGGCCATGATATTTCCCAAGATGTCCTGGCGCCTGTTCTTATGCCATCACGTCCCTGGCCCCCCCGCTGGGCCGCGCACGTGCCGCCGGCCATGATTTGCATCCCCCCCTCTTGGACGCCCCCCCCTCCTGGCCGCCCCCGAGGCACGCTCCGCCCCGCGGCGCTGCGGAGCGGGTCCCTTGGCCCCTGCCCCGCAGCAGGGGGGGGCAGGCCTCCTGCTGCAGGCTCGGGTCGGGCAGGCTCACTTGCAGGGCGGCCCTAGGCGGGGGGGCTGGAGGTGGCGACGCCCGGTCAGAGGCAGCCGGAGTCGGGAGGGGAACAAACACCCAGACACAATTGATCGTCGATTCCCCCAGAAGCTATGTGAAACTATGGGAGGCGCGGGGGGAAGGCAAGAGCCCAGACAACATGGGAAACTATGGGGGGAATCGGGTGATCTGTGTCTAGTTGTTTGTGTGTCCCAGCTTCCCTTCCCTGAGGAGGGGATAAAAGCTCAGGGGGGGGGAGGGGAACGCATCGCCCCCTCCTCGCCCACTCGTCGCCGACATGGGCCCGAGGGCCCACCCTGCCCAGGAGCGTGCGGTCTCGCCATCGGCGACGTGTCGTCGATTCCGGGCCGCTGCGCCCCCCCCCCCCCCCGGAGCTGGCCCCCGCCGTCGTGGAGCTTCGCCCGGAGGGACGCCTGGACCTCACTCAGGAGGGAAAGAAACACACAGACACAATTCATCGGCGATTCCCCCGAAAATAGGGGAAAATATGGGAAGTGGGGGGGAAGACAAAAGATCCAGAAAATATGAGAAAATATGGGCAATCATGTTATTTGTGTGTATTTATTTGTGTGTCCCAGGGCCCCTTCACTCACGCAAGCCAGGGCACACTTGCATGCCGTTTCGGCCCAGCACTGTTAGAGACGGTGCTGGACGGAGGGAGGAGGGAGGGCGAAATGCCATGCAAGTGAATTGGTCGGACTGTACAGCAAGACGCCCTTCAGCACACAGGGCACGTCGTGCCCTCTGCGTGGCGCGAGGCGGTCTGGCTGCCCGGACATCCTCAGATCTGCTGTTGTTGAATCCGCGGCCCTAGAGGTCCCGACCCCTTCCCCAGGGGTCGTTTGCTCCTCCCCCTCCCCCTCCCCTCCCCCTCCCCCTCCCTCCCTCCCTCCTCCTCCTCCTCCTCCTCCTCCTCCTCCTCCTCCTGCTCCTCCTCCTCCTCCTCCTCCTCCTCCTCCTCCTCCTCCCTCGCCTGTCCTGGGTCCCGACCCCTTCCCCCAGATCCGTTCTCGAGGGTCCCGGGGCCCAACCATGGGCCCCGGGGGCCGACGTCGAGGCACAGCGCCAGTCTCTGAAGGGCACGCCCCCTCCTCCTCCTTCGCATACCCCTCCTCCTCCTCCTCCTCCTCCTCCTCCTCCTCCTCCTCCTCCTCCTCCTCCTCCTCCTCCTCCATCGCCTGTCCTGGGCTCCCCAGGCTGTACGCCCTGACCGGCTTCTTCCAGGCGCAGGTCCGCGACATGTGCGAGACGTACTTCGCCCGCATGCGGCGCAACGTGTACGTGACGCGCGGGGCCGAGCCGTGCTCCCCCGCGGCCCGCGCGCGGCCGGCCGTCGTGCCTCGGCCGTGGTCCTGGCATCGCTCGGACGTGTGCATTCTTTCTCGGCGAGAACCATTGAGGACGATCCTGGACCATTGAGCAACAAAAACACGCACGAAACCGACAAATGCACGGGAAATGGACGTCCGAGCGATGGCGAGTGATCGGGGATGGACAGACCTCCCCTCTTGATGCGACGAGTAGTGAATTGTCCGTGTTCGGTTCTCGAGAGGGCGCCGCGGCCGTCATTTTCCAGGATTGCGCCCGCCAGGTTTGGGCCCGAGGTCGTTTTCATTAAACCACGTTGTACTTAAGGGGGTTCTGTCCATCCCCGACATGACGGCCCCGTCGCTGAGCACCTGGGGGCGCGAAGTGGCCTACAGCTGGCTCCGGGCATTCAAAATCATGCCCAGGAATGGACTTCTGGGAACTCGAAGACCACGAAGTGGCCTACAGTTGGCTCTGGGCATTCAAAATCATGCCCAGGAATGGAGTTCTGGGAACTCGAAGACCACGAAGTGCGTTACTGTTGGCTAGAAAAAGAGTCCCTGGATTCCCGCAGCACCCGTCCGGATCCTGCCCAGACCCCCTTGGGGAGTCATGATGCTCTTTTTCGACCCCACTAGAAACCTATCAGTCTTCGCTGTTAGGTGAAGATTCGGCGCCTGCGGCGGGCTGTTTTTTGCATTCGTTCCGGGTGGCCCACCAGCGATCCCCCCCGCGCTGAATTTGTCAGAGCACGACGACGACGATGAGGACGAGGACGCAGACGAGGAAGAGGAGGAGGAGGAGGAGCAGGAGGAGGAGGAGGGCGCCATCGACAGGGAAGGTGAGGGCCACGATGTCCGCTGGCTCTCGACGCCCGCGTCGCCCGCGCCCACCCCCTCACTCTCATCCGCAATGGCGGGGTGCTACGTATATCCCAAACCCTCGGTACCCGCCCTCGCCGTCTTCGATCGTACCCCCTTGGGAGTATATCTTCCTTACCTGCCACAAGAACTTAGTGCAGCCCCTAAAACAAGGGAAGAGAGGACGGGCGGAACGGGGAGGGAGGACCATGGAGCACGAGAGAAACTAGCAGGACAATGGAAGGAGCAGACAAGAAGTGGCAGAACCTGACAGGCAGATCGGGTGGGCAGACCCATAGCGGGCAGGTCGGGAAAGCTAACCCAGGCAACCAGGTCGAGCAGGCGGGTTGCTGAAGCGTGGGTCCTGCATGAATCGCGAGGAAATCTCGAGCGACAGCGCGATTCCCAAGTAAATCGTGAGACAAGCCAAACCGAGAGCGTGTTTCCTGAGCGCCGAGGGCGCATCGTCTGAATAAATTGAGAGGAAGTACCACGCGAGAGCGCGATGCGTACATGATTGTGAGGAAGTCCCGCGCGAAAGCGCGATTTGGGAATACATTATGAGGAAGTATCAGAGCGTCGGTTCGCGTCGATCAGCGTCTGGGAGTCGATGAGGTAGCGCCGATTTGGCGTCGGCTAGTGTCGATTGGCGCCAAGTCAGTTTCGAGTTGGCGTCAACGACCCTCGATTCGCAAGAGCTCACAAGGTGGTATGGGAGGCTCCCATGAGTTGCCACCGAAGGTGGTGCACACAATTATGGTTCTGCCCGGTTATGAGCTGTGAGCCCAAGCTGCAGAAAATTGGCATGCTCTGCGATTTCTGGTGCCACGCGCTTGTCCGGCCGACTTCGACGGAACATGAAAAGGGGTTGTGGCAACAACGGCCTTGCTCGTTGAACGTGTGACCTTCATCCAGCGCTCGACTACACAGCAATGTCAATATGATGTCTTTGGATTCGAGGCCCAAGAGCTTCCTGTGCCTCATCGACTTTTACAAACTGCTCTACCAGACGAAGTACGACGACGTCAACGAGCAGGACGAGCTCTCACGCCAGATACCACACGCGCAGAACCGCTGGCAGCTGCTGCCGGCCTCGCGCGGACACTTCTCGTCCCACGGCCCTTCGCCGTTCCTGTGTCAGCGCTGTCTGCATTGGGCCGCTTGTCTGCCGCCGCTCCCGCGCCTCCTCCACACTCCCCTCCTCGTCCGCCCTGGTCAGTATCCCCATCCTCGCCCTCCGCTCCCCCACCTCGTCGTTGCGTGCACGCGCGCAGAGCTGTTCAGCTTTTGCATCCCCCTTATTAGCCTCAGAAGGAGTCCCCACTTCCTCTTCGCTTCTCCTCCGTTCTCCGATTCCTTGCCCCGCTTCATTTTCATTGTTCCCCCAATCCTCCGCCTCTCCCCCGTCCTCGACCCTCTTGCTCTCCCCTTCCTCCCCGTCTCCCTTCCGCGCTGCTGAAGCGGAATGTTCCCAACACAAAACAACACGTCGATACCATCACGCTACCATGGTCTCTGTGTTGTACTCTTGTGTAGGGATAGCAATAGCATCGCTGGATATTTGTGTTGCTCAGAGGAGCGTCAGAAGTTCCTCTGCTAATGGGGCAGCGTATGCGTAACTGTAAGACTGTGTACGGGTTCCCAGGCGGCTAAGCGTGCACAGTGAGAAGGGTGCTAGTTAATCGGGCAGCTCCGGACGACCTGAGAGGTCCAAGTGATCTGGAGACTACTAGGCGTCGTCACCAGGTGTACAAGACATTCAAGCGTCGAATCAGCTCCTCATCCAACTCACTCCCGATTGAGTTGTTATCCGAAGACTCTTGACAGTGCTTGAACAAGCATGAAGCCCAGACTCTAAGCCAACATGCGTGTGCTTAGCATGGTGGTCGACGACACCTCTGGCGAGTCACCGTCGCACCATGCTGCGAAATATTGAGCCACGTCTGCGTCGAATCCTTGAACCGCGTGGAAAAAATGTGATGCGATGCCAGCAAGGGACACCACGTCTTTTTACACGGCAGAACTTGCACCCTCCAGGAATTTTCCGAAGTACATCGCCCTCTACCGCCGCTTCCCTTTCCGATTGGTTGCGTGGCCGCGCCTGGTGGCTTGCTGGCAACTCGGCTAATTGGTTTGTTGTCTGCATTGGCGGTTCGCAGTTGATTTGAGAGTACTTTTTTATCGCCATACCGCGTGTTATGCCCCCTACCATCGCCCCCCTCCGCCCACCGTAGCGTAACGCTCCCCCCCTCAGTGCATCCACGGCACTGCCGCAATGCGTCCGGCGCAACAGTCTGGGGGGGGGGGGCTGCATTATGCCCCCTCCCGCCCGCCCCCCCCCTCCCCCCCGTAATGCCCGTTACGCCCGTGAATAAAAGAATGCGCTCTTTGGGCGGTTTGCTGGATGGCCGGTTGCGCGCGCCTCTTGTAATGGAGGATGACGATTAATAAATGACCGGGGGTCGTGTTCTCGCGGCGGCGCCCGGGATGACGATCAGACAAAACCGGCCGCGGGCTTGGAAGACTATGTTTTAATCGTTCTCCTCCAGTCAGAAAATTGCAGAAATAGCAGAAAACTATGTTTTGAATCGTTCCCCCCCATTTTTTTATTGATCGTCATCCCGCAGTAATTCATGAAGGGCGGTGGCCTCGGGAGCGCATTGCCGTTTTAGTGTACGAGGCTCCACGGCGTCGGGGGCGCGCACCCCGACCTCTTCCAGAGCATTCGTCGAAGCCTCGGGTCCACCGCCGAACTCTCAAGAAGTGAAGGGGGGAGGGCTGAAGAGCTCCCCCCAAACACACATCCCATGTCCGGACATCGCTTTTTGCTTGCTCAGGAGAAGGGGTGACGTTTGTGGACAGCCTCCGTGGGGTAGGTGCGTGGGCTTGTCGGCGGCGAGCGAGGGGGGGAAGTGAGAAGGAGAATGCCTTCTCAGAAGGCTCGGAAGTCCCCCGGCCTTCTGAGAGGTTCTCTAAGCCTTCCCTCGAGGCCAAAGCAAGAACCATTCGGAAGGCGCGAGGGCGTCTGAGAAGTCCCGCCGCCTTCTGGCAAGGCCCTCTCCTTCTCGTTTCCCCCCCTCGCTCGCCGCCGACCTTCGACACCCCATCTGTCTGCTGCAGCTTTCGAGCCGAGTGGATCTGTGGTGGTCCTGGGGGCCGGGCGAGGGCGGGCCCGCCCGGCGTTGCAGCAGAGCGCCGCCTGGAGCTCAGAGGGACTGGCAGCCTCTCCCTCGATCGCCCTCCGATCGCGATGCCGGCCCACGCCAGCGCCCCAGGGACCCCCTTCTCCTCCTCCTCCTTCTCCTCCTCCTCCTCCTCCTCTTCCTCCTCTCCCTCCTCCTCCTCCTCCTCCTCCTCGTCTTCTTCCTCCTCCTCCTCCTCCTCCTTCTCCTCCTCCTCCTCCTCCTCCTGGCGCGACGTCGGGTTGTTCGGGCGCAACGGTCACGCGCTGATCCGCGGCGTTGAAGTCCCAGTGGCGGTGCTTTGGCGCGATGGCGGCTTCTCAGACGATTGTCTTCGGATGGGGCACTTCCCGCAATGAACATGAATTCTTGCAGGAACCTATGAGGAGGGAACTTGGAGGGAGTGTTGCTTGCAGCATCGTTTTTTGCGCCTTGGGTCTACATTGGTCCCCGTCCTCCTCCTCCTCCTCCTCCTCCTCCTCATCCTCCTCCTTCCTCTTCCGCCACCGGCGACTTCCAGGCGGCACCTGGAAGACGCTGGGGGTGGGGTGGGGTGGGGAAACGAGAGGGAGGATGGGCGTTGCCTTTCGCATGAAATCAAGACTTTCACAGGCGTCCTCCTCTTCCCCCTCTTCCTCCTCTTCCTCCTCTTCCTCCTCTTCCTCCTCCTCCTCCTTTTCCTCCTCCTCCTCCTCCTCCTCCTCCTCCTCCTCCTCCTCCTCCTCCTCCTCCTCCCCCTCCCCCTCCTCCACTCCGAGACAGCGCCTGCGCACTGCACGCGCAGGCCTCCTCGACCCGGTTCTGCAGTCAGGGAGTCCCCAAGCTGCTTGCTCGGGGATGAGCTCCCCTAGCGGAGGCGGAACCGGAGGCGATGGCGGAGGCGGAGGAGGAGGAGGAGGAGGAGAAAGAGGGGGAGGGGTAGGAGGAGGAGGAGGAGGAGGAGGAAAAGGATGAGGAAGAGGGGGAGTGGGAGGAGCACGAGGAGGAGGAGGAGGAGGAGGAGGAGATCGCTGGGATCAGAATGCCTCCCGAACGCCCTGCGGCCTCCGCCCCATCCGAGTGACTCGAGACTCGGCCGTGCGCAGATGCCGAGCGAGCGAGCCTTGCGGCGCCAGGAGCGCAGCGTCAACATCGGGCTCTCGAAGCTCAAGGACGCCTCGGAGTGCCGTCCCGCTGCCCTCGTGGGGGGTCCGCGGGGCACCGCCCGCGGCGGCGGCGCGCGCGCGACGGGCGCGCTTGCCGCCGCGCGCCTGCGCTGACCACGACGGCGACGACGACGACGACGACGCTGACGACGACGACGACGCTGACGACGACGATGACGACGCAGGCGACGACGCTGGCGACGACGACGACGATCGCAGGCGACGACGACGACGACGACGACGACGACGACGACGACGACGGCGGCGACGACGACGACGACGACGACGTCGACAACGACAGCGGCGCGTCTCATTACGGATCTGAGAGCATGTCAGCCTGTCTCGGGCGATTGCCTTTCTCTGCGTCTCTGCGCCCTGGCCAGAGCAGACCGCGCTAAGGCGCGCAGCGGCCCGTTCCGGGCGCCGCTGCTCCAATAGACGCAGATGTGTCGTCTGAGCAGATGGACGCGTTCGGACGCGCCTCGCAGATGCGAATGCGCATCTGAACGCGCTGTAGCCCGTTCTCCGCCGAGTCTGCCAAAACCGTCATCGGAAGGCACCGCTTCTGTCGGGGAGCCGCATTCTGGCACGAAACCGCTTCAGGTTGTGCACCGGGATGCGACCGCAGAGTGCGAGCATAAGTGCCGAATCGGGTGGCTTTCCCGTGTCAAACACACATACGAACACACACACAGTCACACACACAAATGTACGAGCACACACACACACACACACACACACACACACGCACGCACGCACACGCACGCACGCACGCAAGCACGCACGCATGCACACACGCACACACATACACACACATGCACACACACACATTTTGCGTCGGCGGCTCGGCAGAGGGTATTGCTCCGGCGATCGTTCATCAGTGGGGCGCGCGAGATGCAAATTGGGCCGCAGCGCGCGTGAGGAGAGGAGGAGTCCCCGGCGCGACGGGAAGAGAGGAAGCCGTGCCCGCTCAGGCAAGTCCCGGCTGCGGCGGGGCGGACGCCAGGGGGGGGGGGGGAGCCAGCCGCGGCGCCGGGCAGCCCAGCGGCGGCCGGGCAAAACACACACACACACACACCAACTATATATTCCTCGATCGGCAGAGACAGGCAATAGATCGAGATTCGAAGTTCGACGATCGAAGATTTCCTGAGTGCCTGGAGCCCTCCAGCCAGTCAGGAAGCGACCAGAAATCGATATGTTCGGAGCTACTGCGACTTCTTCGGCGTGCCATGGGAACGCTCCTTACTTCCTCCAACGACCTAGGCGTGCAAAAATAATAATTCCTTCCCCGCTCCTGTGCACAAGCGTGCAAGCGCATCGGGCGAACGCGGCGTCAGCAGGCACCAGGGATATCAAGAAAGTGAGCCCGTCGCCCGTCCAGGCCTCGAGGTTCCCCCTGCTGAAGCAAGCGATGATTTTTTGTTTCGCCGGGTAAGCATCCA